AGAGAGAGAGAGAGAGAGAGAGAGAGAGAGAGAGAGAGAGAGAGAGAGAGAGAGAGAGAGAGAGAAAATGTTTTATGGAGCGGGTTGTAGCACGTGAGACATGTGCGTATGTGTGGGTGCACCTAACCTTTGCATCATCCACTGCCATTGTAAACGACCAAGACAAATTTCTCCCTGCGAGGTGAATAAACATGTCGTTGCCCTTGTCATTGTCATTGTTGTTATTACATTGTGTTGATGGGGGCGTAAAAATACCTTCATGATTTCTAAAAAAATAATGTGATATGGAAGAATTGAGTTGACAGTTCATGTATTTCTACCCAGACGTCAATGTTGGCGGGAAACTGACCAGGGCCAGTGAGACAATGGACGTGTTTAAGGCCAATTATATACAGGTTAGTGGTTTACTTGGTCGTTCAACATTGTCGTTTGTCAACATTTTGAAATAATGAACAACGCCCCTCCCGCCAGGGCAGTGCCACTGACTGAAGTGTCTTTTGACCATTCCAAAAAGGGGGGGGGGGGGAGAGGGGTGAGAGGATATTAACCTGTCCTTATGCGCAGCAGAATTGTAAATGGGCTGATTTATCAGTGATGTGCTCATACTGTGACGGAACAACATAGGGCTTCTGCCTTTTCTTTCCTGATCCTTACTATCATCATTTTCCCTCTACTTCTTTTCTATGTCTGTCACTCTCTGGTGATCTGCTATTTCCGGGGTGCCTTTATAGTCGAAGTAGACTTTGGGTGTGTTGTTGAGGCTAGAGAGGTGAGCAGACTGTGCCTGATTCCCTGTTTGGACTTCTCTGATGACATCCACCCCTTGGCGTTCATGTGACCTTATGCAGTTGCGAGCGCTGTAAAACCTCTACTAAAACTAACAAAGAAATAATGAATATCAAGTATGTTGTACAGAGACACAAAAGTTCAATGTTTATTGGACTAATAGAAAACTTGGATAGAGAAAGTTACAGGAACCATAATTTTTCTTATATAGATCTATATTATTATTGTCCTAATCCTTGATGTTACTGCTCTCACTCAATATAAACCAAAACTTTTTCACAACTTCCGACTTAACAATTTTAACCGAATGTTGATACTTAAATAAATTTGAAGCTGTATCTGGATAAGTCTTGACTAGGCTGAAATTTGTTTATTGTATGTTTGTGTGTGTGCAGGGTTACAACTCTGTGCGGGAATACATCGCTGCCCAGGGCCCCATGCCTTCCACTGTGCCAGACTTCTGGAGGATGGTGTGGGAGCAGAAGTGTAAGGTCATCGCCATGCTCTCAGACCAAATGAAAGGTTGGAAGGTAAGTGTGTATAAAATATGATACTAATAATTGATTAGCACCTGCACTATCATCAGCATCATCATCATCATCATCATCATCATTGTTATACATTAGGACAAAAATTCACAATGGAGATTTAGTTATGTGTGTATTTTGTGTGTGCCTGTATATTTGTGTGTATTTGTGTTTGTTTGTGTGTGTGTGTGTGTGTGTGTGTGTGTGTGTGTGTGTGTGTGTGTGTGTATATATATATATATATATTTACAATCAGTGCCACTTTGCCTCAGGCTAAAGTGAGTATAGCTGATCACAGTGCATGACCAGTTCATACCTTTCTCTACATCTGAAACCTTTCAGGGAAAAGGGAAATCGTATTGGCCGAAGAATCTCAACGAATCTGTTGAGTATGGAGACGTTGCTGTGAAGATGACCCAGTTCTCTATGATCAACAATAAATACACCATACGTAAATTCCAGATCTCCAAGGTACGTTACTTGTTTGCTGCAGAAAGACTGAGATACTCGATACAATTTCTCTATAGACTATTTACTTAGATATAAAAATGTGTGCATGTGTGTGTGTGTCTGTATCCGCTGTTGGGGGGAGGGGTCGTGGTTAAATCGGGCGCTCATTGAAATAATGAAACTGACGGAACCAAGATGTTTCCGTCTGTTGGTCAATTTTTGCCTTTAATGTCCATTGAAAAATACTTTTCTCTGTAGATTTTACGGAAAAACGTTGATCAAATTCACAAATAAGTTAATTTACAACTCCCAAGGACTTTCTTCAAGCTTTGAAAGTCTCCAAATTTTTGCAACCTTTTTCTCGCTAATTTTACTTCTGACAACAAAGGGGGGGGGGGGGGGGGGGAGAAGAGGCGCCACCTTAAATTGTAGGTATCTCGACTTCTTTTTTAGAAAGATTGGTTTAATAAGATAAAAATAGGACAAATGGACATGCTTTAAGATAATATCAATAACTCTACATGCCAAAAACACGATGAGCTCCTGATTCCACAGCATTGTGATAAATATGTATTATATATATATATATATATATATATATACATTTTCAGTTGATGTGACATCATGTATTTATATCATCATATATGAACAGTTGATGTGACATCATGTATTTATATCGTCATATTACTATATAAACATTTGATGTTACATCATGTATTTATATCATCTTATATAAACATTTGATGTAACATCATGTATTTATATCATCTTATATAAACAGTTGATGTAACATCATGTATTTATATCATGATATATAAACAGTTGATGTAACATCATGTATTTATATCATCTTATATAAACAGTTGATGTAACATCATGTATTTATATCATCTTATATAAACAGTTGATGTAACATCATGTATTTATATCATCATATATAAACAGTTGATGTAACATCATGTATTTATATCATCTTATATAAACAGTTGATGTAACATCATGTATTTATATCATCATATATAAATAGTTGATATGACATCGTGTATTTATAAGGTTTCCAGTTGTTAGTAAAGGCTACAGCGTGATATGCTCCTCGTATTTTCCTGTGCTATTCTGTGTCCAACAATAATTTTACTGCTGTTGTTATGACCACTGGCCACAAACTACATCACCCAAGACTTAGAAAGTTACTGAAGCTAAGTTTGTTTTTCTTCTACTTTTTGGTTACTGCAAGAATATTCCAAACATTTTGGTGCAGAGGTTACAAAATTGAAAACCCTAGTGCAAGCAAATAAAACTCTGGTATTAATACTTTCTTACTTACATACTCTATCCCTATGCCGTCAGGTACTTAAGGCGGAGAGCAGTCAACGCCTCGCTTGTCTGTGCCTGGCCATTGTAGTATGAATACCTTCCTTAAGAAATCATTGTGAATTGAGTCTAGTCTACGATTCCTTTTTCCTGACAATGATGTGTCCATATATTATTTGTTGCAGGGTTCAGACACACGCCAGCTGACCCACTTTTGCCTGCAAAGGTGGACTGACGCCAAGGCCGACTTGACAGTAGAAGATGTGGTAGACTTCATCCAAATTGTGCGACAGGAAGCCACACGTACGATTTCTTGGCCTTTTGTCGTACACTGCAGGTTTGTAGACGCTTTCTCACTTGATTAAAACAGAAACCTGTTGGTCAGTTAAGGAGTGCATAATTAATCCGCATAATCAGATCGGATTGGATACTGGCATCTGTGGAGTAGTGCTTAAACACTTCACTGTTGCATGCACTGTCCTATGTTATGAATACCCTGTTCTATGTTATGAATACCCTGTTCTATGTTATGATGTTCACAGCGCTGGTGTGGGTCACACTGGTACTTTTATCGCCCTGGACTATTTCACTCAGTACGTTGACAAGCACAGTCTAGATGAGAACATCGACGTTTTCAGCTACATCATGAAGATGAGGGAGAACTGTCCCGGTATGGTGCAGACTGAGGTGAGGTTCACAGTCCAAACCTAGGTTGCTTTAGGTATCCATCGAACTGATACCTTACAGTACAGGCCAAGCTGCTCCTAAACAATTACAAGACTCATACCGGAGGATCAAGAAGCATAACAAATCTAGTCAATTTTATACCTCCTTTATCCACAAATAAGAGTGGCTATTTCTCAAACATCGTCTGCTTGTGTTCCTGCATTAATAGAGCAAATTGCATCCATGATCCACCATCTTTTTTCCTCTGTTCGTTTTCTCCGTACACATTGATGAGTTCCCTGAAAAATCCAATGGAGTCATTTTCTTAGATTATCTGCATGTACAAATTACATGATGCCCCCTCTTTGACATTTCCGCCATAAGGGTCGCCATATCTGATGTGACAGACCAGATGGACATGTTTTGTTGTATATGTGCAACTTTTACTTTCGCAACTTCAAGAAGAGAGCATTGCCTTTTGCACACCAGATGATAAAGAGGGTTATTTCATTTTCAGTCATGACTATTTTCAAAATACTTTTCTTACAGGCATTCGATAATTAAAGACGGGATGCTTTTCTTGGCAAAACAGAGGTAATTGTTATATTTTAATCTAACAACAGCCAACTGTGATATTATTTTCAGACTGAGTACATTTTCATCTTTGATGTACTGATGGCGGTGATACAGAAAAAGATAAATGAAGACCAGGAGTGGGTCTATGACAATATCGGAGAGAGTGAAGAGGACAAGAACGAGAACCTTTCCCGGGAGGAAACTTCACATTATTATTCAGCCATGTAGGTCTTCTTGGATATACCACTTTGTCCATGACAGCTCAACTTTTGCTGGATGAACAGGTTTTGTGGATGCTTCTGAGAGCACTCTTGTCTTGTCCTTTCATTGTACTTCTTTACACTCTGTTTTCTCTCCTGGTCTCTCCCTACCTAAATGGAGCTGGTATTGCCATGGCTTGCTATAACATTGGTTGATAGGGTGCTAAAGAACTTAATATGATGTTTCTGTAATTAGAAAATGTTGAGAAATATTTTGACAACCTGTGTTTTATACATATGTCGATTGTGATAGAATAAAGATAGTGATATTTTGTTACTTACAGCTTTGAGTGCTTGTGACTGACATTGTTTTCTTTTTCAATATTCAGCATAATATAACCTTGTAGGCTACCCAAGACAGCTACATTATTAATTACGTGTTGTGGAATTGAGGTCTACGTATACCATACTGAACCAAGTAAAACACCGAAGATCCAGCTCAGGAGAAAAACAAAATATGTGTGTCGATAATGTACAGCTTACAGCTTTTTATTATCTTGTTCTACTTGCATTCGCTCCTGCCTCCAGTTGTCTTCTAATCCTGATTAAATCCAATGAGTGTTGGCTAATTTACTCCTCGTGCTCCCATTTCTTCACACCGACTACTTCTTGACATGTTGAAGTAAAGACTTCTTACTGATAAATAAGGTATTTCAATGATGGGTGTTTCACATGTGTGTGCTAGACAAGGAGCAAGTACATTGTTCCCTGAAGATTTAGTTCTAGAGGTTTCCAGGAAAGTGACCAAGTATAGTCGAACCTGCTCTAATACCGTGTGCCCATTGCGGATGGGATCAGGTCGGGTCGGGTATATCACTCGACTCGTCGCCGGAAAACGAACACATTTGTTTTTGAGGCATCCAATCAGGCAATCTGTTTGTGCCACGATTGCCGCTTTGTGCCCCAATCTGCCTTAAAAACCGACCCAACCATGCCAGTAGTGCCAATGGTATTGTATAATAATATATATTAGGTTAGAAGGATCAGGTTAGAAGGAAGGACATCTTGATTTTAATGGGAGACTTCAACGCTAAGGTAGGCAGTGACAATGTAGGCTTTGAAGAAATCATGGGGAAACACGGACTTGGAGTCAGAAACGAGAATGGAGAACTATTTGCAGAAATATGTGCAACAAATGGGCTCATGATATGAGGGACTTTTCCCACATAAACAGATACACAAATCAACATGGGTGTCGCCAGACCAACAAACTGAAACCAGATTGACTACATATGTATCAACAAGAAATTCAGGAGATCAATGAGGGATGTTAGAGTTTACAGGGGGTGCAGACGTAGCATCGGACCATCATTTTAAGTCGTACCATACTGGAAAGACTGAAGGAAGCCGTGGATGCAAAACTAAGAGAGGAGCAGGCAGGATTTCGTGAAAAGAGATCATGTACAGATCAGATTGCAACTTTGAGGATAATAGTGGAGCTGTCCACCGAGTGGAACTCCTCCCTGTACGTTAACTTTGTTGACTACGAGAAAGCTTTTGACAGCCTAGATAGGGACTCAATATGGAAGCTCATGCGCCACTACGGAATACCTGACAAGTTCGTGAGATTGATCAAGAAGATGTATGAGGGAATGAGTTGCAGTGTCTTACTTGGAGGGCAGCGAACAGACTCGTTTGAAGTGAATACAGGAGTGAGACAGGGATGCCTGCTATCGCCTTTTCTCTTTTTATTAGCAGTGGATTGGATAATGAAACAGACAACATCGGGACAATGCAGTGGCATACAGTGGACCCTTTCCAGTCAGCTGGAAGACTTGGACTTTGCCGACGACTTGGCACTTCTTTCCCGACGACTTGGCACTTCTTTCCCACAGTTGAGCCCAGATGCAACAGAAAACAGATCGCCTCAGGACCTTCTCCCGTAGTGTTAGACTCCATATTCACACGGATAAAACGAAAGTTCTACGAATGAATGCAGCCGACGTTCCTATCACACTGCAAGGGGCACCATTGGCGGATGTTGAATCCTTCACCTACCTGGGAAGTGTCATCAACAAGGCAGGGGGAACAGACGAAGACATCAAGGTCAGAATCCAAAAGGCAAGAGCAGCATTCATCATTCTCAGGAATATATGGATTTCTAAGGAACTGGGATTGAACACCAAACTGAGGATCTTCAAAACAAACGTGAAGACTGTTCTACTGTATGGTTCAGAGACATGGAGGCTCACAGAATCAGCAGCAAAGAAATTGCAGAGCTTCGTAAATGGATGCCTACGAAGGATAGTGGGGATCAAGTGGTACGATCGAGTCACGAATGCTCAACTGTGGGAGAGAACAAGCCAAAGGCCAGTAAAGGAAGATATTCAGGTGAAGAAATGGAAATGGATTGGACACACCCTGAGGAGACCCCGGACAAGCATCATCAGGCAGGCCTTAACATGGAACTCACAAGGAAAGCGTAAAAAGGGAAGACCTAAGATGACATGGAGGCGAGCGGTATCAGCGGAAATTGAAAAAGCGGGGACATCATGGAAACAGATAGAAAAGGATGCTCAGGACAGGCTTCGCTGGAGTAATGTTGTTGATGGCCTGTACTCCACTGGGAGTTAAAAAGGGCAAGAGAGAGAGAGATATCAAATATCTATCGACCTTATCTCTCCTTCTTGTTTGTTTATGTACTCTCTTGTAACACATCTATTCTTCAGCACTTATATGACCTTTTTGTGTTGCAAGTGCGGTAAAACTCTTACGAAAGCTAAAACATAGAAAAAAATTGGTCAACTCTGGAATACTTTTTCTTACATTCCGAAAATCTGCTAATATAATTAAACCGTATTTTCTTTCAGGAAGTGAATTTGAGCAATCCATAGTCAAAATATTTTTCTGTTGTATCTGAATTTGCCGAGATCTCATGCTTTAACTCTCAAACTGTGTTTTTGTGAACGTTATTTTGCGTTTGTTTTTCAGAGCCTGAGGACCAAAATGTGGAAGTGATCAACGACCAAAAAGAAACTCCCATGACGGTCCTGTAAAGGTGTCAACTCACGTGCACCGAACGTCCTGCTCTCTCCACTCAACTGCTCATCCTCTCCACAAGCCTTTCCTGTTGGCCCACAGCCCTGTCCTGTTGGAAGAATCTGTGACCTTTTTTCTGCAGCAAACACCATCTTTAGTGCCTCATGCATAATACTTTTGCCTTATGTCTTTATCATCTTCTTCCACTTTATCATGGGCTTTCAGAACAGTCTAGTGGGGTGCTCCGTTAGCTCTGTTGGTATAATGTAAGGCTATAGAGCGTACTTTCCTGGTTCAAATCCTAGGCTCAGCACTCTTGCACTTAAACTTAAATCATTTTGTAGAGATTTTTAAGCTCTCAACACATCTGGCTCAATCATATCAGTGATGGACGTTAAATAACCCATGTACTTATACACACACGCACACGAATGTGTTATTATCTGTCTTTTTTTTTTAATCGGAAGGGTGATTTTAGAATATTTTAAAACATTACAAAGTTGACATACTATTATTTTCCTCAACACCACAGCCAAACGTTCACCTAAAAAACAAGGTTCAAGAGACGGGGTGAGTAATATTTAAGACTCACGTGGAGACATGAAGACAGCCTTGGGAGGAAATCCACAAACTTACTCTGAAATGTAGGGGCAAGGTGATGTCGCTGTCTCAAAAAAAAACTATTTGTTGGTTAGGTTCATATAACTCATTTATCTTAGCAATCCTATGTATGTACCCAAAGAATAGTTTTTAAAATAATGCCCAAAGAGAAAGGATCAATGTTTTAAAAAGAAATGTATTTGTTTGATCGCTGGTCTGTAGAAGTCTCAGGCAAAGTTTATTGGCTTTGGTAAATTGAAATGAGCTGGATTTTTTTTTTTTTACGCGGACAGACGAAAGTGAACAAGCTATAATGTGGGCTACATTTACTGCTGCATCCTTAATTTTCCTAATAATTTTTCAGCCTTAGTGATGTTTTTGTAGATTTTGAAATGTATGCTAAATTGTCTACACCAATTTTTAATAAAAAAGGACTGTTCTTTTAATTCTTGATTTGCCTTCCTAAAATCTATTTTTACAATTTTTATCGGTGCTTTGACTTTATTTTTCTCATGCTAGATTCTAAAGTGGATGTGTAGCTCTTTATTTTTTTGGTAAGTGATTTACGGCCCTTGCAACTGCATAAGGTCATATGAGCGCGCGGGACACGCCAAACATTTTCAGCTGGTAAGAAATTTTGAATTTGGCCTAGTGGTTAGGCTCTCGGACTCGCACCCGTTAGGTCGTGGGTTCGAATCCCGTCAGGGGCCCCACGTTCTGTGCTTGGGAAAGACACTTTACACGAATTTTCCTAACTTCACCCAGGTGGGAATGGGTACCCGGCCATAAACAGCGAAAGATCTTGTCAGTTTGTTATTGCTAGAGTGCCTAATCAGCTGCTTGTACTGTATGCTTCCCGGGAAGCTAAGAATGTTTTGGAGTGTTCTATGGTCTGCTGGAGTAATATTATAGTGTAAAGGGCATAGAGCTTGCTGTTGAGCGGGGGTGTACACTATACAAAGGCTATTTATTATTATTATTATTATTATTATTATTATTATTATTATTATTATTATTATTGTTATTATTATTATATCATGCATGGGTTTTGCTCTCAGGCGTATACAGTTTACTGTGAAATAAGTGGAAGTTGAAAAGTTCACTGTCGGCGAACTTTTAAAATGTACGAAAGCCCAGAAAATAAAACTTTACTGGTGAATCTGTTTCTTTAAACAATTACCTACATAATGTATTTTTTTCTTGCTTTTTGCAACATTTAGAATTTGAATCAAGAAAACATTATTTCCTGAGCACATGCAACAACGGATACCACACATTAAAAACTGCAATAAAAGAAAATATAAAAATTTTGGACTTAATAATTGTAACAGTTTGTCAACGATAATAATAAAATGTACTTCGTTGCTACTTGGCAGTAGATGTTGGCAGGTATAGGTTCACTGGTTCATTGTATTTGAGCGGAAAATCAATAAACAGCTGTAAAGAACAATTGTAGCGACAGAGTTGTGGTTCATAAGACGCATGTTACATAACCCATGGAGAGCTAGAAAAACAAATGAAGAAGTCCTGGTTGAAGCAAATTATAGAAAACAACTTATCACGAATATAAGAAAACGACAGGCAAATTTCTTCGGACACACAATGCGGAAAGAAGCATTAGAGAATATTGTCACAACAGGAAAGTTTTGATGGAAAGAGAGGCAGAGGCAGACAGAGGGAAAAGATACTGGACAAGATGACAACATGGTTGGAAGCAGCAAGAACAACAGACACCATTGATGCAGCGAAGGACAGGGTGAAGTGGAGGTCTATGATCGCCCACGCCAGTCGGCAAGGCACCGGATGATGATGAACCATTGTCACCCAAGAGATTGTCTTGATAACTGAGTTAATAATTGAGTGCCTTTGGTAAGTTCCTGTTTGTTTGGACTGTACATGTTACTGTTACTAAGTGTTACAGTAACTATTTATTGTGCACAGCTTAGCTGTACTGTTTATGGTGTGTTATAGTGTGGATCATGTTGGCTGTTTTGAGCCTCTAGTGTTTTGTTTCTTCATGGTACAGCCAATATAGCGAAAAATAAATACTCTTATTAACATAGAAGCAGAGCAGGGTAAAGTGTTTTTTCATTAACCTCATTTTTTTCTACCTTCTTCTTTAGTTTAAGTGGGGATATATTATTAGTAGCACTTGTGCTACTTTCTTTTTAAATGCATGCTTTAAATTGATCTGCAATTAGTGCACGCAGTGGGCTCCGCTTCTATTTTTAAATAACTTAAAACAACTTATAACAGTAGCATTCCCAGTTATAACAAGATTTCAGCTATGGGAGGCACATGATGGAATAAGAAAAAAACAACCCAAATGAAGCAAAACAACAAACCAACATTGATGGCGAAGTGGACCCACTTGACCCACAGCGAGGGCCTAAGTTGATTGTGCACACGTTTGAAGGTGTGTCGTACTGGTTGTGCAGGGGAGGGTTGGGGGGGGGGGGGAGCTACATAGATAGATGCACGTTGGTGTTGATGAAAATCCAGTCAGAAACTTAACGTGGCCCTGACAACACACTGTTTCCTGGTTAGGGGGGGGGGGGGAAGCGAGGCTTGCTGCGTAAAGAAAATGATTGAAGGAAAAGTTGGCACTGGGTGAAAGATCTACCACAGATCTTTCACACGCACTCTTTTTCCAAACCGTGGTAATGAACTATTCAGTTAAGAATGATTGTAATTGTAATACTCGCCGAACATGCTATAGGCTCTGTACTGTAAAACCTGGGTATGAGCTGTTTTAATGCAATTAGTCATTGTCATTCGCCTCTTTCACCCTACAAAAAATGGGTGTTGGCAGTCAAAAAAGGCTCTGCGCGTCTGTCTTTGCTCTGGGCCATCTTCTCCTCCTCCAACCAGCTGTGTCCCATACTATGATGAGTACGGGGTGCAACTTCTGGGAAAATGACACTCAGGGACTTTAGAATAAATTTTATTTGGTCACTTTTACGGACAAGCGGGCTAACCCAGATTTCGGGGGGTTTCCAGAAATCTTGACCTACACCACAAGTGGGCATTGTCCTACCAATAGGAGAAGTTTGGTTTCATTGGTGTGTATGTTTGTTTGGTTATAGAGAAAACTGTCCTAGTCTTTTAAAGAAACTAAACCAGGGGCAAAAACTTTACCTTCAATTTTCCCCACACGGCATTTTTTCGGGATAGCCCCCTTGTGCTTAAAAACGACCATTTATAACCTCCTTGATGTAACCCAATGAGTATATAAATACTGTCTCAATGCCCCCCCCCCCCTCCATTCTATCTATGAGAGCCCTGGGCGGTGCCGATGGTCAGGGTGGTGTGGGTGGGAAATCTCAACAATTCCTGTTAAAGTGCTCGAGTGGCGTACCAGCACGGAAACTTTCCTGGGTAGCCAGAGGTCAGAGGTAGGAAATTAGTTCGACCAATGCCTGTCGCTCTGATAGTTCGTCCAATCATTGTTCCATGCAAGGAAGGGGTGGCATTGGTTGAATGTGCTTTTTACACCGACAGGTGGGGCTAAGGGTGGAAGCAGAGATATTTAGTTGTTTCTGTTTTCTAATAGGTCAAACTTTGGTCCCAAGAGATGCAAGCACAGGTGGTAATGGATAAGGACACACGCATGACATTACCAGAGATTCTAGGACAACACTTGAGAGGTGTGAAGTTTTGACCACTAGATGCCGACCTGCCAAGTGACCCTTGACGATCCCACCGGCTGGGCCTCTG